AATAAAAATAATAATAATAACAAAATTGATGTACATATAAATGTTAATTGGCTTATAAATTATCTCCAAAGGAAAAAACAATATTTATTATAATAATAATTAAAATGATATAATTTTGACAAATTTTCTAACATTACAAATTAGTGTTATATTTTTATACACCTAATATATCAATTTTATTATTTTTGTATATTTAGGTATAAAATAATATTTTTATTAACAGATTATATATATATTTAATTTTGCCACAAAAATAGGTGTTGATAAACATAATTAATGAAAATTTTCTATGAATAATAATTAGTTTGTGATTTGAATTCAATGATGAGATAGTGATACAATATTTACAGTATATATATATTACATTATAATACTATAGATATATAGAGTATATCTATGACATTCATATTATACAATATATACGATAAATGAATATTTTTATATAGAGTGCCACCAAAAAAATCTCTACGAGTTTAATGTATGGCAAATATTAATGATATTAAATTAATGTTTATAAATGTGAATTTTGGTGAATAAAAGAGTTTCTCTCTTTTTTTGTGATAATATAAATATTAAGGCAATATCATAAATTTCACACGCCTTTTATTTTCACAACAAAATTTTAATGGTGTCTTATCTATTGGGTTTCGATAGGGCTTACAAAATGTGTGTTAAATTATTAAATATAAATATATCATTGCATAAAACGCTTTTATTACTATATTATAATTAATAATTTAGTACTATGTGTTTGTGTATGGATAGTAAATGTATGGCTTTTTATTACGCTATTATAAATTACAACAATCTATAAATCTATGAATTTATTTTCTTGTTATTTTGCTTCAAGTTTGCTGTTAATTTAATAATTAAATTATAAAGAGTTTTATTATTATTATTATAAAATTACAGTACATTAATTATAAATAAAAATTTATAATTTTCTATATAATTTATCTAAAAATCATATTTACGAAAATTTTTAGTATTAAATACATTGTTATGTGATTTGGTCATCCATTTATGTTATCAATATTATTGTATATGTATAGTAAAGTATATATTTAGACACATATTGTGATATCATAAATATATTCATGAAATCTCTCTTCAAAATAATGAAATCACTGTAAATGAAGTCAAGTGTGTGTATATTGTTGAGCACTAGTATGATATCGTGTCCCGGAGCCATTTATTCTGATTATATAATTTATACTGCATATATAATTTTATATATATTTGTATATTGAACATCTATAATAATAAAATTCACATAATGGTTACACACACACACACACTATACAGTGTTGTTGTAATACTAGTGTCAAGCATTGCTAATGAAAACGATTTTATAGTATAATGCAAATACAGTTTACTCTATGGTATTATATTATCAATATATATATATATATATAATCTTATATATAATGCTATACATACTAAATGTGATTCATGTTTGTTATGGCAATACCCTATATTTATAACCTCTCTAACAGTGATTTTTAGGTGAACTTCTATTTTTAGTAACAAAACACACACTACTAATACTAGTGCAATACCAATAATGTTAAGCACTGAGCCTTATACTGTATGTAGACAACTATATATAAGTCTATTTTATTGATTTATACTTTACTTTCATATTGTGTATTAATATTTCCTGAAAAAATATGTGAATTTGTCTCAATAGTAATAATAATAATAACGACAATAATAATAGTTATGTTACACTACTACTACTACTACTACTACTAATACTAATAATAATAATAATAATAATAAATAAATAAGAAAAATTTGACGAAAATAAATTTATAGATAGTTTAACTATTATATTCAACTATACGCTGCAAAAAAGTGAAAAATAGATATAAAACTGAATGGTTTATAATGTAAAATACATAGACATATATAATATATTTTCATATATTGAATATATAATATACTTTGCATATAAAAAATATTATAAAGAATATAAATTTTTCCATAACTTCAGTCATTAAATAATATTCTTTTATTGCAATACATTGAGAATGATATATTGACGTCTGAAATAAATATATATCTAAATATATATGTGATATAAAAATAGATTCTCTGAACCTTTATATTGTATATATATATAGTAGAAGACTATGAAAAAGACAAGGAATGGGAGATAGTTTGAGAGGGAAAGCGTTGGGAGATATAAGTTAACCTACTTTTTCTTGTATGTATATAACTATGTGTTCAAAATATAAGAGCAAAAGCAACAGCATATATGCATTATATGCTGTGCTGTAAAGTACGCCTACAAATATAGCACTGGGAGTTAGAGCACATACACACAGAATATTCTGTATACGACTACGTGTGTTGTGTTGAGAGCATAGTTAGGATTTTTAATACATCGAACAGTTCGTTCGGTTGCTATTTTTAGAACACACATACAGTGAGAGCCAACACATACGTACATACAGTGCATATAGAGATTAGGCATTACATCCATATAATGCAAAATTATTGAGTTTCTCTCTCTCTCTCTCTTTCTCTCTCTCTCTCTTTTTTTCTCTCTCTCTCTCTTTTTCTCTCTCTCTCTTTTTTTCTCTCTCTCTCTTTCTTTATTTCTTTCTACATCAGGTCATGTATTATCCCACCTGTTTGTTTCCTCCCTGTGCGCTCATTGAACTGTGAATATAAATATATATATATATATATGAATATATAAATATATCAATTGATAATTCTATATCTAAATAATTACTAAGTAATACATTAATAAAAAATACATTTATTCATACATTTTGTTTACACTTTTACCTCTCTCTCTCTCTCTCTCTCTCTCTCTCTCTCTCTTCCCTCTCATCTATATTTTATTTATTTATTACATTTTCCGTATTTCATATTAGAGTTTATTGTTTATACTTGGGTTTAATATCTATGGTGTTAATACATTAAATACAACACATAAATAATAACAACACTACACTTCCTCAATACATTTATCATAATATATGCAATTTTATATACACTATCTAATACAGTATTGTACTTTATATATATAATATACAGTATATAAAACAGTATACACTTTATATCTCATATAAATTATTGTTATCTATTGTTATTGTTACCAATTATCACCTATGGAGAGACAATATATAATTGTATAATAAATATTGAATATATGTTAACTTTTTTACGTACTTATATAATTGTAGAAATTTTTCATTATATAATTAAAATATCACAACAAATGTGTTTTTCATGTGTAGAAAGCCTCTGACATTTACATATATACTGTAAACAAATAAAATGAAGTTTTTATTTTTGGATAAAAACGCATATTTTGAAATTTTATGTTAACTTATGTTATGCTTATTTTGCACTATTATATATGTATTTAAAATTTATGCAGTTTTAGTACTACAGTAGTAATAATATGTTATTTATTTTATTATTTCAATAGAACATAAAATTATCAATATTTAAAAAAAATATTTTACAAATATATTATTTTTATTTTATATTAATATTATATAAAATATATTAACATTTGTTGCATTTTTAATAAATTTTATATATAAATTATTTTATAAAAATCTTTGATTGTATAGAATATACAGTAATTTCTTTGAAACGTAAATACATTTTATATTTATATTTTCCACTCAATAGGATATTAAATTTTGAGTAGATTTACGACATTCACAATGTAATAATCGCTATAATATACTCTATAAAAGTCTATATTTATGAGGTCATAACATTTGTGTAATTATTTTTGTTACCGATAGTATAGAGATAAAAGTTAGTTATAAAATTAAGAAAATTATTTTGAATTATATATTTTCTAATACAAATGTAGACTTTATCTTAATTATTCAATTGCATTATCTATATAAACCATATCATGTGTTATCCAACTATTTATTTATTCAATATATTCGTTTGTATACAAAATATGTATAAATAGTTTCAAAAAGTTTCTCTTAAAACAAATTAATGGTATTAACAAAATCAAAATAAAAGAAAATATTCTAACTATTAGCATAAATCCTATATCTAAATATGTTAAACAATTTATTTCTATAATAGATACAGTTTTGTATAATTAATCTAAATGCTAAATAATTAAAAATTGCAGTTTTATAAAAATAGATAGATTATTATATTTATAAATATTTTAAAATATCTTTAAAATAAAATATAAATTTTGTATACTTTAAATTATTTTATATACTTTATATGATTATAGTATATATATATATATATATATATATATATATATATGTCACTTATATTTCAAATGAAAATAAAAATTCAAATAATAATAAAAATAATTTTAATTTACAGGCAAATGTCATATGAAAACAAATAAAAATTCTAGAATATAAAATTATTTTTTAAAATCTTCACATAAATAATTTAAAAGTTTTAAAAAATAAATATATAACACTTTTAGTAAAAATAAAATTTAATGTTTTTTAAAATAAATATATTTAGCAAAATAAAAAAATCTGTCTCTTTTTTGATTGACGCTTAATATTTTCTGTTTATTCATTTTATTAACTTTTTATCATATATTATAATATTTTAATGCAATGTGTTGTTTAAGACAGAGAATATTCTGTGTTTGTTAACTTAAATGTTTAAATAACAAACAAAAATAAAATAATAAAATGTTTGATACTTTTTTTGCAGATGTCAGTTAATATTAATAAATTAATTTATATATCTATATTTTTTAGCACTTAAACTTAAGCATGTTTTGATAAATTTTCATAAAATATTTTTAATGTCTAATATAAACCGTATAAATATGCTAATAAGTACAGTATTTTATTGTTTCTATATATATATATGGTTTTGTTTTAATTTATTAATATCAAAAATTTATAGTAACTTTTCAATTAACACTTTTTTTACATAAATATTTTAATATAAATAAAATAATTGTCAATTGTTTACCTCAAACAACAGACTATTAATTGTTGAAATTTTCAATTATATTATTACAGAAAACAACTTTAGAGAGACATAAGTCATACACTCTATTGAATGTTCAAATGCTTTCAATTAAGTCTTGTTGTTGAAGATAACTAAAGACGACAAACACAAAGACAAAGACACGATATTACTATCAATTGAAGCAAATATTAAGCGCTTTTTATTTGCCATTTTAGAAGACCATTGAAATTATAGAGATCTACTCAAACCTACAAATCTTTTTGTGTGGACTGAGAGAGATAGTTAAGGAACAGTACTTTCTTGAAATTAACGGCACAACCAGTAAATTATCATTTGTTATATTACAACATAACAACAACAATATATTTGAATAGCTTTTGTCCCATTAGATTACATGTGATATCACCATTGAAATTGATTAACAACTACATCAACAAAATACTTTAAGAGTTGACATCAAATCACAATATTGGCTGAGAATTGCAACAAAAGTGTGCGAAAAATCCCAAATAATAAACCTTTTGTTTGCCACCAAAAACATCTGATAACATATTGTTAAATATATATATACAGTATAATCGTATAATACAACAATAAAACACTTTATTTATAAGACCCAACAAATAGACAAAAAAACTAAAATAAAAGATTTGTTGAACGATTTGAAGATACAAACCAAGAAAACGTGTTAACAATATTATATAAGTTACCTTTAAAAGTGGTGTGAATTGCATAATAACTTTGATAAACATTAGTTATCTAAAAAATATTATATAAAAACTTGTTTTTTTAATTAAATATTATTATTAATTAAAAAGAAAATGAGTGCTAACATGAATAATAATAATTTAAATTCAAATGAGTTAACACTCAATTCACAACAGCAGCCAATTAGTAGTACACTATCGCCAACATCGCCCACATTTGTCATGTCTATGTCGGACACATTGTCGGGTAACGGCAATACCAATAATTTGAGTCAAGCACAGGCATTATCGGACAGTGTGCTCAATAATCCCCAACAATTTATTGGCCGAAACGGTTCGGCCCGACAGCGAGGTTTAGTACACTCTGTAAGCATTATTGTGGAGCCGGCGATGACCGATAGCAACGATGACGACGATGGGTTCGGACCCGAGAGGCCATCAATGCCTTCCGTGTCCACTGAAAGACGTAATACAATTGCCGGACCTATTGTTGTGCTCGAAGACTATGCGTTCGGTAAGAATTGATTATATTTTTAATAACTTTAATTTTTTATATAATATTTATTATAAATTTATATAACAATACTATGATATAAACAATAAAAATTATTTTCAATATATTATGTTACAGTACAGGATTAAGATAAAAAAAGATATCAATGTTATTTTTTTAAATCAAATAATAATTATTCTATAAATTATACTTTTTATATTAATCAACTATTATTTTTTAAATTTAAATTGTTGTAATTGAAAATAAATATGGTATTTAGCTATTTTATGGATATTTTAATACACTGTTAAACATATTACTTTATTAATATTGTTTAATCATTAAAATTTCATTGTGTATTGCAACATATTATTTTATATTTATTTAGATTTTTTATGCAATATTGTTAAATTGGTAAATAAAGTAATATAAAATATTAACGGATCATTTTATCAATTTAATAACCATTGTGAAAATGCATTAATATAGTTTTAAAAAACTGTATTTATATAAATGTATAATTTATGTATTTTCCAATTCTTTATATTGCTTTTTTTAAAAATGTATAAATACTCAAAATAACTATTTTTGCATAAATTATGATTTTTTGGTCACATTGTGTGATTATATGTGTAATATTAATGACAACATTTTTGCAATTTTCATATATATATTTATTATTTATTTATATAAGCTAGTGAGTTTATGTTAAAACTTTTTAGTTTTTAAAAAATAATAATATAAAACAAAAATATACTACATTTTACTTAACATAAATGAATATACAATATGTACTGAATATATTAGGCTATAAATTAAGTAACGTTTATTAAATAACTAAATGCTGTCATATTTTTACGCGAAAAATTTTTAATATAAATTATCTTATTTATATATTTTTGTTGTTTTTTGTTGTTAGTATAATATGCCCAAGTGTTTTAATATTAAAACATAAGCAAAATAATTTACTTATATTTATTAATAATAATTTTTGCATTTAATAATTATTATCACAATAGCTCTCATTCATCTCAATTTTATTGAAAAAAATTTTAATTAAAATAAAATTACTATTTATTTTAATTTTTTGAATTAATATTTGTTATTCAGAGTGCAAAATCACAAACACATACACATTGTATTATAAATTAATATATAAATTAAATTTTCTGTCAAAATTTAATTGAGTTTCTATCATATTATCCACAACTCTCTCTCTCTCTCTCTCTCTCTCTCTCTCTCTCTCTCTCTCTATTTAATTATTTATTTACTATAGTATTTTTCTATTTATATATCTTTGTTTTACTTTTTTAATATATTTAACATAATATTTTAATTTATGATAATTACCCCTTAAATTGTATATAAAATTGTCAATTAATTTTGACAGTTAAGTTAATAAACAAAATTGTTGTTTACCAATTTCCACTGTTTTTATTGTTTATTTATAAATTCATCAATTTTTATATTAATTTACTTTCATAGACATTTATTTACAGTATTTTATATTTATATTAAATTACACTACTATATATATTATGCTTTATATCTAAATTTATATATATATATATATATATATACTGTATACATATCAATTATTTTTTATATCGTATAATTATCAATAGTATATAAGTAAAATTTATCTGACTTTTGCAGATATCATATTTGTTTGCTTGTGTGTGTTATTATAAGCATATAACAATTTTCTATGAATATGTTTGATACAAAACAACTACTAATTAGTCCACTATTTATTTCTGAGAATTCAAGTATACGTAAGAGCTTTAGTAAGAGAGAGAGAGAGAGAGAGAGAGAGAACAAAGAGAAATCATATAATAATAATACTAATGTTAAAGAATATTCTGTATAAGAGTTGATTCCCATTAGTGACTTCAATAGAGCACAATATGTCAATGCAATTGTACAAATGGTGGGAGCATTCAGTATTTATTGTATTAAATACATAGACATACCATATACATAATACATATAAATTATATAGATAGTATACTGTATATATATATATATGTATATAATTTCAATATATATATATTGAACATCAGATGTTTGGATTCTTAATCAATAATTTGAGCACAAATACCAAACACACATACATTTGAATCACAAGCAAACTCATAGAAAATCAACCCTAAAATCTTTAACACCAAATCAAACCTAATAGTGGGCACCAAATAGAAAATTCTTATATATTATATGTTTCTTACAATCATCTGATTCTTGTACTAAACTTGTTTATCGGTAAAACAGTGACATATAATAATTTATAAATAAACTAAATTACATACATTTTTGCTTATTTTTTTATTTACAACTATAGTCAATAAATGCCTTTTTGTGTTTCGATAACTTTCGGCACACTATACTTATTTGACATTTTAGGGCCACCCCTGTCCTCCCATTCCTTCACTCAAGCGTTGAATGCATTGATTTCTTTTAGATTAACATTACATTACATTATTTATTTCGCCGACACTCCAATGACGTTATACTTTTACAACATAACAATATATATGATATATATATATATATAAATTTATACATATATACTATACCGGTATAATAATAATACATACCTATAATAATAGATTAGATGTATAAAATAAATCCTACATTAAAATCAATATTTATTTTTTATATTTATAGTATATATAAGATATATAAAAATAAAAATTTTAATAATTAACTATATTTTAGATAATTGATATTTTAATTTATAATAATATATTTAAGTTGCTTTCTAAATATGTAGATTAAATTATTGATTAAAACTGGTCTCATATAAAATAATTATAGTATATTAATAATACTATATATAGTATATATTACAGTATGTATTATATAATGAACAGTATATGGATCAGTGTTCAAAATAATTGTCATTTAAATTATCTATCTTTTTATATTAAATTGTTTTATTGTTCAAACATCAAAGCAATTATATATGCTTTTAATATTTACCGATAGAATAATAATACTGTATATGAAAAATATTTTAAATCAAGTTAATAATATTTAAATTATTTATTTTTAGTATAAAAATAATTTTATTATATAATTTAAACAAAATAATGTTTATTTTATATTTAATCAGACCATTCAAAATGATAATTATAAAAACTTTTAATTTTTTTTTTTTGAATTAAATTCTCTATTCAACTGTATATTTGCATTATAATCACATTTTATCTATTTATCTTAAATTATATTATTGAATTCACTGTCAACTTGTTTTCAATTAAGAGTTTTTTGTTAGCACTATAAATGATAGTACATTTGGTATTACACAATAGACATTGAAAATCATTGAATACACATATTATACATAAAATACTTACACAAAAAACAACATACATATAATCATTGTACACTCAAAACCATAAATACATTTATATATATATATATATATATATATAAATGGATATATTATGTAATACATAAAATTAATGCATTTTGGTTGTTAGCAAAGTTGTCGGGGAGAAAGATTGCGATATATTAAAATGGCAAATATTATCGATTAAAATGTCTATATTTTTATAATTATTTAGTAAACAAAATATATGTATAGTCTTACTAAACAGATAAATGGATAAATTTAGTTAACAAATTATTGTCTTTTATTTAATACATTATATGATATACAGTATACCTCAAGTAACTAATAAGATTTGTGTATGTATATATGTATGTATGTGTATGTGTATGTGTGTGTGTGTGTGTGTGTGTGTGTGTGTGTGTGTGTGTGTGTGTGTGTGTTCAAATAATTAGGCAATATTTAATTTTAATACTTAATTACTATAATAAATAATTTTATTATGAATTACTCGCAGTATGCATAACAATGGTTACAATAATTGTATTGATTTGATATGATATGATAATATCATATTTGATAAATTATGATGGAATTAAAACAAACAAAAAAATATATGTAATTTAATTTTAAAAATAAATTCTAATGTATTATAGGTCTTAGTTTGAGTTTAAGCATTTATTTTATTGTATAATCAAAGTATTTTATGTTATATATCGTACATATCTTTAAAAACATTCACAAATAATTATTTTTATAAATCTGTGTATTTGTTGTGTTCATAATATACAGTCATTAACTGAGTTTTGTTATAACGATATTTGTTTGAATGCCTATAAAAATTTTCAGCATTTAATCGATGACATAAACTCTGTACTATTGAATATATATTACATCAGGAATTAAACTATTATAACAAAATGTCAACATTTAGTGCAAGAAATTTACAAATTTGCAAATTAAAAATATAAGATAAGAATCTTATTCTAATTAAACAAAACAAAAATATTTTTAAAAGTGTTTTCCTTTAATTTAAAAGTATATTAAGAGTGACAGTGATATAAATACATATATAATATTACTCTTTATATAATAATATATATATATATATACTTAAACAGTATATCATATAAAAGTGAATATTCTAGCATTTTGTTATACTTTGTAACAAAACATTATGTTTTAAACATAACAGACATAAATATATTGAAAACATATATAACAGTGACGTTTGTTTTGTCCTATTATAAAACATACAACAATTTGTTTTCCACTAATATATTAGTTGAAAAATTTATTTTCTTTATCACACAGTAAAAAAATAGTGAAAATATATTGCATTTTCAATACACTAAACATAACACATATACTATATATAGTGAAATAAAACATTTTTGTGTGTGCTTTCAATTCAATCGATTTGACACAAGATTTATATAACTTATAATAAAAAATGTGTTTTTTGTTATATTTCTAGACATTAATTCATTGCCCATTTTTTTGTCAGTGAAAAAACCAAATTTAATATTTTTGCGTAAAAAGCAATTACTCGATAAATAGCAGCCATACAATTGATAGTTTAAGTGTTATGTAAGCAAACAAACGATATTTTTTTATAATTATAATTCTATAAATTTATCATAAATGCCTATCATTTATATTTATAAATAGTTTTTTTGAATAGTAATAT